TTTCAGATAGAGCCAAATGGAAAATTGATGAAATCTTTAAATGACGTTAACACTTGTCAATTTATGACAATTTCAATAGATGGTATCATCATCATTTGGACCCTTGATTTATCATTGAATTTGTCCAACGATATCTTAAAAGAAACATATCGATTATTTATATCAATACCGAACAGTTCTCATAATTTCATGCTTCTCTGCGTCTCCATTTCCTCGGAAAGCTTACGAGAAGAGTGTAACAATGCTCATCGAAAGGTCAACGAGTCCGATAGGAAGGAAGAAGAGTATACTAGAAGATTATGGTTGGGTACCGGGGAAGGGGAATTGGTGCGTTGCACCTGGAAAGGCCAGATGTTCGATGCGGAGCCGTCAAGTACTGAGAAGTGTAACTTCCTCGATCGTTCCTTTGCTCACGATGGTCCCGTTATCGAAATCGTTCGATGTCATCGTCTGTTGGACGTTATTCTAACGATGGGTGGACATGTTTTTGCTATGTGGAATGAAAATTATTTGGAATCACCGATTTTCTGGAGAAGATCCAAGATTATTTATACTGCTTGTTGTTGGAGCTGTCAACCTGGTGTCTTTTTGATGGGCAGATATGATGGTGAATTAGAAATGTGGGATATCAAACGAAAAACTGGAGAACCTGTTTTTATCAGAAATATTTCGGATGGACCATTAACTGTATTATCTTTTTGGAAGAAAACAAAAGAATCACCTGGCCTGATTGGAATTGGTGATCACAGAGGTATCTTTCGTGTGTTTAAAGAACCAGCTAAGTATTTAGACGATGATGAAAGAATGGATTGGTTCGAGGAATTCGTATGGAGAGAAGTTAAAAGAAAGAAGGTCTTTTCAAGCTGGCAAAGCGAATTTCTTAAGAACGATCCGACTGTGATAGCGAAAAGATTGGAGAAAGAGGATCAGGAACGAAAGAGAAAATTGAAAGAAGCTAAGGAAAATCTTCAGAGAGAACAAGAAAGGAGATTAAAATTAGAGGCCGATAAAAAGGCGCGGAGCGCACCAAAATCGAAAGAAACCATTTGGAAATTAAAGGAACAAAAGCGGATGAGAGGCGTTCTCTTGAATAAAAAAGGATTTGTTCCTGAAGAATTGGAAAGACGAAAATTACCGTTGGTTCGTTTACAGCAAGAAAAACGTTTGAAATCGCAGAAAATTGAGAAGGAAGTTAATCTTTGTAAAAAATCTTACGAAGATATCGTAGCCCTTCAAATTCCTGAAATATCGAATTCTTTTCAACGAACAACTAAAATTCTTGACGAGAAAGTATATGAAGTAGAAGAAGGAGTTGAGACAAATATAGAACAATATATGCAACAATATTGTAATATCAGAGACGAAGTTCGAAAAATATTAGCTGAAAAACTTGAACAAACTATTTCATAATTAAATATAAACGAAAAAGTGCTAATGTTAACAATGATTTTAACGATTTCCTTTCATTTTTCTTCTTTTTACAATTTTTCAGTAATTAAATTAGAGATCATTTTGTTTAAAACTTATTAATAATACGGTATAAAAATATAAAATATCTGAATCATCTAACAATGTATTATGTTTCCAGGGTCTTGGAATAATATGTATGGCATGTGTTTCGCCGGCATTAGTGGGTGCATCCCATTGGTTTCTATTCGTTGCAACGACATCTTTTATTGCTACACTTTTGTGGTGTTTCGTTTATCTTCTCTCGATACGGGAAGCACTTAAGATTCCCATCAACTGGATATTAACGGTAAGTATTATCAAATGTTAAGAAATAAAAGATTTCTATTGAAAATATTAATGATGTTAAAATTAGAAAAATAATTATTTTTTTATTTTTATATACTCAAAAGTATATTAATTTTTTAGGAGTTGTTAAATACATCGGTGGAAGCGGTACTTTATATGATCGCTTTTATCGCTCAGCTTTCCCTTTGGAGTTCAGTATCTAATGCTCCATATATTGCTTCAAATATCGCTGGTGGTGTATGTATATAAATATATAAATATATAATATTAGATATACAGAGTGACAGTAACTATACCTTTTTTATATAAATAAGTTTTATTATACAATATATAATATTATTGAAGCATATTTTATAATAGGATATAAATTTAATACATTTCAATGTGATAATTTGCAAGTTAAGTATAGGCGCAATTCCCAATGTTTTTCCGTAACACGAAACACTCTCTCCAACATAGCTGGTGTAATTTCAACAGCTGTTATTGTTATTCGTTGTTTTAATTGATCTGTACTATGTTTTAACTAATCCTCACTTTAAACATTTACACTTGAGTTTATTTTAAATTTGATAAATCCCCAGATAAAAAAGTCTAGGGATGTCAGATCTGATAAGCGTAGATCGTAAAGTATTGACGAGATAAGATCAATCCATTTACAAGAAAAAAAACTTCATTCAAGTAGTTACGAACAATTATGAAAAAATGGCGTAATATTTTATCCTGTTGGAAAACAATATCCATAATCTCATTCTATATCAATTGCGACTCAAAAAATTATTATAACATGACGCTGTGCTTAAACTTGCAAACTTTGTAATATATTGAGTTTTTGTTCTATTATAAGATATATTTCAATAATATTGTATATTGTATAATACAACTTATTTGATGTAAAAAATGTATGAAAACTTTATAATAATCCTGTATTTATAATAGAATCGAAGAAAATTTAACGATATTAAAACGACTAAAGTCATTACTACCAGAATTACCAAATTTGTCAAAATTAGATATTAAATTTTTTCTTTTATAATTATCGAAAACATAATTATTATAAAATTAAATTTATTAAAAACAATAACGAATCAAATGTATTTTTTTTTTTTATCTTAAATATCTGTTTGGCAGATGCAATAAAAATATGTTGATAGTTCTAGTGTTTTAATGTTTCTATGGACGTGTCAAAAACGTTGTTTAAATTGTTTTTATTGATTTTTTTTTCAGGTATTCGGTATTCTAAATACTCTGGCATATGCCGCAGGTGCTTACTTCCTTTATATAGAATGGAAAAGTAATAATTCGCAATGAAATGAAAGAACGATATTCAAAGAAGACAAGCCAGGTACCTGAAGAGCATGTACAGCGACAGTGTTATACTATAAAGTCGGGCTCGTAAACTTCTAAATGTTCGTCCAAAAACGAAACAAATAAAGCACTGCACTGTCCAGGATCGTTCGTACTCAGCAGGAATCTACAGCTGAGAAGAAGGAAAGGGTCAAAACTAGTCCTACAAGACCCATTCATCTCTCCACCGATCGTTTGTGTAGCTTAAAAGAAAGACTTTTCTATCTATACGTGCCTTTTGAAAAAATGAAAAAGAAAAAAAAAAAAGAAAAAAGAAGAAATAAAACACATTATTGCTTTTCCTTTCGCACCTGCGATCGTCGAGGGATTCCTTTTTCTACCGTCCAGATACCGAATATATTAATATCAAACGTGACTACAATTCAATATACACAAATTATATTATCTCCAACAACATTAATAATAATAATAATAATAATAATAATAATAATGATAATAATAATAATAATAATAATAATAATAATAATAATAATAATAATAATATTAACACGCTACATGAATCATAAAATCATGATCTGTTTTTCAGAAAAATCTGGTTATATTTTAATGTTCAATGAAAATTTTCTAATTTCGTATTACGAAGCGTTAGATAATAAATTTTAATATTTAGTGATCATTATAATAATTCATCTTCGACGATCAGAGGTACGAGAAACAGCGTATTATTTTATAAAAAAGGTGATGATCTACTTTTTTTTACAATTATTTAAGTGCTATTATTATCTCACATGAGAATTACACATCGATTATTTGGAGTGTTATTATAGACGAAATCCATGTTGGATAGATCGTCAACAGAAATGATTTGTGTGTTAAAATTGGAAGAACAATATGGTCACGTTTTTTATACAAAACATCTTTCTTCTCTTTCTCTCTCTCTCTCTCTCTCTCTCTCTCTCTTACTTTATTTTTATAGTTCTACTGCAATATTTCTTGTTCATCGATATTATACAAACGCAAAAAACATCATTTTCAAGTTGTAGCATTTTTTTTAATATATATATATTGAAAAAAATGTTACATTATACATATATATTTATAATAGTATTATATGCATACATACACACACTTACGTACACATACATATATATGTATATAAAATTATATAGATGTATATGTATAGATAACGGTATGTTTTCATGCACAGAACAAATTTATTATAGTTATTCTTGTTCTTTTCTTTTCAATCGTAATTAACGAATACCTTGCATTCAATAAGTAAACCGCTCAAGCTTCTTTTCTTTTCTTTTTTTTTTTTTTTTTATTTTTACGATCGATTGTAGCGTACCCTTGGGAAAGTCAAATCAAATGTCGATGATATAATCAAATATCTATGTACAAGAATTATGTGTACTAACGTTAAATAATAATATTATCGATATTTATTAATATCTCCCGTGTTATATACTAAAGATACTATTTGTTTGAATAGATTAATATATCGTTTTTTGTTTTACAATTAATAAAAATTCAAACGAAGTATGTACATTGTATGTGAAACATATAAATGGTGGTTTAATATTACATTATATATAATATTTTCTTACTGATAAAAGAGACGGGAAGACGTAATCATTCGGCAAATTTAGCTACTCAGTCACACATCCCCTCTTCTTTTCCGTTGACCCTTTTTATTTTCATCGATCTAAAAAGAAAGGAAACAATCAAAGGAACATCGAACGGTGCATTTACATATCAAGAAATAATATTTTCTCTTTATTGTTATTATTTGTTAAATTTCAAAAAATAACATTTAATATATATCATGTTATATATATATAACATATATATAATATATATATATTACTTTTTTAATTTTGAAATTTTATTTATTTCTTAAATAAATAGATGATAAATAAAATAATACAGAAATATATATAAAAAAAAAGTAAAAAGTGTGTGTTTAATTAATTTTTTATATATTGTCAATTTGTTTTTGTATTTTTGCTAAAACAAAAGTATTGAGAACCTCTGCGAACTCCTTCACCTTCTACGATATACACGAAATTCGTTTTATAAATGTGTGTGAGTGTATGATATCATGTATGACGTCACCCTATGGATCAGTATTCGTGGTACGGCTTGAGAAGCGCACGCACTTCAGTCATTCACAGACGGTCATCTAGCGATCATTTACCTTTGAGGTTAGTTAGATTGTGATACGTTTTTTCCGACTTTTATTTATTTTTTTATTGATTTCTTTTTCTCTGTTTTTCTTTTTTGTTAAACTATTGTTTCATGAGAAATAAAAAAAAGAGCGCGCTTCTGTGCATGTTTTTTATGTGTGTGCTTTGCATGTATGTGTATATATATTGTTAAAAAACTTTAATTTCTTATCAATACAAGTAAATCCGTTTCTATCGATTTTAATTCTTTTTCATAAATATCGTATTATTATCTACTTTTTTTCAATATCAAATGAGATTAAATGAAAATGATAAATTATATCGCAAAAAAATAATATAGTGAATTCACGATTCTTTAACTTGCCACTTTCTTTGATGCTGACTATTTAAAAATAACTACTGACGGCAAACCTAACGTGTTTTAATACTTAAACACGCCCATGCTGATGTCGCTCAAAGTCTTCTTAAGAAATTTTGTATATTTGATGCTTAACAATATGACGCTTTAAACTATACGAACTTCAATACGAACTGATCCCGCCAACTACAGACGTAATAGCGTCGGATCGAAGAAACGTTCGTATTATAAACGAAACATTACATGTACTTTAATATTATTAATGATATGAAACATTATATGCATTTTAATATTATTTAAGTTGTTAGAAAAATGATTCCAAAATTATGTAAAAAAATCGATTATAATAATATCATTTCAACTGTGATTTAAATTTTTTAAAAATTATAATATTTTAACAAAATTTTATTTACTTATTTTCTTATATCACGTTTATTTATTTCAATGGATGATTCATTTATATTATAGATTAGATACATTTATATTTTGTGATAATCATAGTTGTAATAGTGTATTGTATATAATTACGTTAAAATATTTTTAAATAAACAAACTATATTTAATATGCTCATTTTGAAGTTATTGAAAGTATATGTATTGTATATATATTGTATGTGTGTATGTGTATAGGAAGATGTTGATAACCTTGAAGAATCCATGACCGAAATACGTTTGGTGAATATAAAAGGCGTTGTTTCCTTGCACTTACTTGTTCCTTAAATAATATAAAAACTTTCTCTTATAATCGATGATGACGCTTTACTCGTAATTTATTTATACAATTGACAATTATTATACATACTCTCTTTTTTATTTTCAAGGTCTCATCATAATAAACAATCATGTCTCATTCTGTAATAATTAGAACGCAAACAGTGACGACCAACTCAACTGCGATTGTTATTAATACAGGATATATAAAAACTTGGAGTGGAATTTTAAAATTTTTACAACTCGTATGCATTAAGCTCTTTTTTTATTCTTTTTTTTTGAAAAAATTAAACATTATGTTTTGTATTTAACATGTTGGCTATCGTAGGCTTTGGGAATCGTTTGCGTAGGCATTGCCGGTGACCAATTTAAACCGAGATATTATCATACAACCACGGATATATTCTTCCTTTTAATAGTAACAACGTTTATGATAGGAACTTTTATTTTGTTACTAAGCTGCTTGTCTTCCCTTTCTACCGCATCTATAATATCGAAAACGATATACGTGAGTATTTATAAAATAAGAAATTAAATAACTGTATTTCTACCTGTGAAAATAAAAATAAAAAAAAAATTTATTCATTTTTCAGGAACTATTTTATCATTCAATAGCATTTGGACTTGTCCTTTCTGCATCCTTGACATTACTGGTACAAGTAAATAAAAATAATTCCAGAGAATACGAATTGCTGTTAGGTGCTTCTGTAAGTGAAATCCAATGTTTCTTTTTTCTTTCTTTTCTTTACTTTTTTTTCTTTTTACAAAAGAAACGTTTATATTCGAAGCATTTATTTTTCAGATTTGCGGTCTCGTAAATTCAGCGCTGTATTTGCTTAGTACAATAATAGCACTTCGTACGTACAGGGGTATTTAAGTGCTATTGACCTAATGGCTCCAGTTATGAACAAAACGATGGAAACTAACTTATATTTATAATGCTTCAAATTAATTTAATTGGAATATATATATATATATATATATATATATATATATATTTAAATATATATATTTATATACATTACATATATTAGTTATATAGGTATATATATATATAAATGATTCAACTGCCAAATAACTTTGAAATAATACTCCTTTGGCGGTTTAGATTTGTGTAAGTAACATCAGAACTAATGTAGTACTTATTTATTATTTTTTGATAACGTATTACATAAATATTTATAATGTTTTTATAGAAATCAAGTTCATACCGTAGTAACTATTTAAAGTCTCATTTAATATTTTTGAATTAAAACATTCTGTTATATACCTATATAACTAATATATATATACATATATATATATACATATGTTTATATACATATATATAATATATATATATATATATATATATATATATATATATATATATATATATATAAACATAGATATTCTTTTACAGAAAAATATAATATATTTACAAAGATTACTTTTATAAAGAATTTTGAATGACTTATTCGATATAATTGTTGGATCTCATTCATTATTTTATAACTTTTTTCACGCACAATTATCAACTATACTACCTACAAATATAATTATAAGGATTAATATACGCTTAAATTGATGTGATGTCATTTAAAATTAATAAGTATATGTATTTCGACTTGTATGAATATTATTTAATATAATATAGTATATAACATCGAATTAAGTTATTTGTTTTATATAACAGACGAGAATTTTATTAATTCATATTATGATTATTCACACAGAATAAAACAGGATGAAATGAGAATATAACACTTTGCTACAATTTATGAAAGGGCAAAAAAGAAAAAAGATCTGAGAACTTTTCATTGCTTAAAATCATCCAAACTTTTTATTTTTTTTTATTTGATTAGTCAAAAGATAAAAAATATTTTGCAGCTTACATTTTTTTCATAATATATGTATTGTTTAAATATAATATACAATATTAGTTTTGTTTAATCATAAATGAAGTAATAACAAGATTAAACTTAAATGAAACAATTATGGACACAAAGTTATGCTCGTTTGAAACAAAATTAAATTTGATTGAAGTATTGTTATGTAACATCGGATTATTATAAAACCTTGGATTGTTAATTAGTATGGATAATGAAGATGCAGTAATATATAATGTATATACATATATTTGTAGTCATACATATTATAAGAGTCATACATAAAAATTTTTGGAAGCAATATGCAAAAGATTAAATTTATCAAAACTCCACTCAATCGGTAATATAAAATTATTTACCGAACTTAATCAAATATAAGATCAATGTTTTCACAAAATGATAATTGATCTTTTTTGAAAAAGTGTAAAAAGATTATTAAACGTCTTACAAAAAATTACTACTTAAAATGTTTGATCGAATAAACTCATTAAATAATGATTTGGTTTACCAGTCAAACAATTATACCAATTATAGTAGGGACCTATTTTACTGACCAAAATTTCTACAAGTAGTGATATGTACCTATTATACCGATCGAAAAAGGATTGTGTATTAGCAGATCCCTGTTTTATTGACAACAAAAATCTAATGTCTCTTGCTTTTCCGATTGATATAGTAGATCCCTGTTTTGCTGATCAAGTTAAAGGTTTAATTAGTTGCAAGGAAATAATAGAACAAGTAATTAATAATTTGTTGAAAATTCAAAAAATCTTTGAAATGAGGTTAACCTCGATGACGATTTTTTGGATAATATTTTATAAGTCAGAAAGTTTAAAAAATCTTAAGCAAACTTCCAGTTTATTAAACGCGAAGAAATTGACGATTCACTTAGTTTTAACTTTATCATTGTTATTATTGTCTTATTATTATTTTATTATATTGTTATGATTATCGTATAGATATTCCTGTAATGCTTTGATATTATTGTCAACTATTTTAATAATAATTATAGCAATAAAAGGGACGGTGATAAATAACACAACATGATGGCAGCGCATCATTTCACCTTCAAATTTAGATATCCAAATTTTTAATATATTTACATAAAAATCACTTTAGAAGCAATATTTTTATAAATAGATGAATACAATAAAATTATATCAATAAATAATGTGTAAATAAATTCATTATTCCTAAAAAAGGCAATTTATAAAAATGAAAATTCATAAATGATGAATTATGTTCGTAATTCACAATCTTATGCATTTCGATAAGATTCGCAAGTGGTCCCGTTTCGTCTATTATAAGAGTATATCAAACATATCGAATGCTTGAAAATGCGGGACATGTTATTTCGTATTCAGAGGGAACGTGGAGGCTTATAAAAATATCAATGGGAAAAGCGTGTAACGAATTGCACGCACGTAGTTGAAAAGGTATATCGTATTGGACGCGTTTACACGAAAATCCGAAAGAGAATACGTTCGATCTCTTTTTCTCTTTATTTCCCTATCTCTCTCTCTCTCTCTCTCTCTCTCTCTCTCTCTCTATCTCTCTCTTTATCTATCCATCTATTTCTATCTCTCTTTCCCTTTTATTCCACAGCTTTTTTCGATGAATTCAACGCATATTTCGAGAAGTAAAAAAGATAAAAAAAACATTCGTGATTCCGAAACACCACGAAATCGTTGGAACATTCCTCTCGATTCCGCACGCAAACGATTCTAATCCCTCGTTATATGGAATACATTATATTTTTCCCTTGGCTTTTTTTTTCCTTTTCTTTTTTTTCCTTTTTTTTTTTTTTTTTTTTTTATTCTCACTCGATATAGAAAAAAACGCGCCGATAAAAATTGGATTTATTTCGATTATTCGTGATACTACTACTCTTTCCATATACTCTTTTTCCATCCATTCTCACTCTCCTTTCTTCTTCTCCTCTTCTTCGTTTCGTTTTCGAACTGCCAAACGGAATTCGAAAGTTAGATTCGAATAAACTTTATACTTACGTGTTTGTCGGCGAGCCGCATGCATTACGTTTCATGTACCTGACCTGCGTTTCTAGCGAAGTGATGAAAGAGAGAGAGAGAGAAAGAGAGAGAGAGAGAGAGAGAGAGAGAAAGGGAGAGAGAGGGAGAACTCGAACCCTACGTAAATATCTAGTGCAATGGATCGATGGACGAGCCCATTAAAGCGTTCTTGGTATTGTTCTCGTTATGACGCACTACCACCATCATTGACGATGCTTTTATTATTCGGAGATTCGCAAAAAGTGATAATTTATTCGATCTATCTCACTCGCTGCGGTTCATCGAAGGTACATGTCGGACAATGATGGCTTTAATTTTCTGCAATAACATCATTTTCACGCTCTTTTATTATTAATAATTTTCGGTAATTCGTATTATAGTCGCGTATCCGGAAGAATTTCATTTTTAATCCACCGAATTCTATATATTCTCGAATACGAAAGAAAGAATTTCCGTTTTATGTAAATAATAAGAAAAAAAAAAAAAATATCAGGAAAAAATAAAATGATAAAAATGAAATGACAAGAGAAAAATCTATAATTACAAATTAATTTTATATAGTGTATATCTTGAAAAGATTTCGTTTGTTGTTAGGTATAATAACAAGTTCAACAGTGTTTTTATAACAACAATTAAAAAGTGTTTGTTGTTACTTTTAACATTTACAAGATTTTTGGTTTTCTCATTTTATCTTATTTTAATCGTTGATTCCCCAATATCTTTTACCTTATTGTATTTTTATCTCTCTCTCTCTCTCTCTCTCTCTCTCTCTCTCTCTCTCTCTCTCTCACCTCTCTCTTTTTGTTTAATCTTTTGCCATAAAGCCTCAACTTCGTTATATTTTTCGTCGTGGTTATCTCGAGATACGAGCGACGTTGGTAAACTTTTCTATTTTGTTAACGATACCCTTCGTGGTTGAAAGAAAAAGGGAGGAAAGGGAACGGTAAAAATGTGAAAATGAAATATCGGATTTTCGTCTAGTCCAGCAAGCAGTGTAGCAGCATAAAGCCTCGTCTCGGACATTTCCAAGTGTAAATCGACGTTTTTCCAGAACGTTTCGTCCGCTTTTTCCAATTCGTTCGATCTCACCTATTTTTCGATTGGAGATTATTCTTTTTCTCTATTGGCATGGCTCAATGTAGCCGGTGTACTACCGAAACATCAAATTATCGATACGAAATGAAAAGAAAACAGCATTCGAGTAACGATAACGCGAGCTTACGCATACTCTGCTTATTCTAGTCTGATTCAAATTCATGCAAATTTACCTGCCTGTATTAATGCCTGTTCTCCATCCGGCCGTATCGTTCGATCGCTATACCATCCACGATATAACGCGTTAATACGCATATTAAAATCATTTTTGATCCGGCACATTACCAGTATGTATCGCCAGTAATCACGATCATAACTCTGCCGTTTGGTCACTCTGCGTTTATTGCAAATAAATCGCTTATCAAAGCGAATAAGTACAGGTGAACACGTGTTCAACGTCACTAAGTAATATATATATGATATATGTATATATATATATATATATATATATATATATATATATATATAACATTTAAATAGGAACCACACGAATTTTATATTTTTGTTAAATAAAATAATTCGTTCCACGATGATAATTTATAGTGAAAAGTTATAACTTTTATGAGCTTATAATCATATTTTTACTATTGACTTATATCTTTTTATCGACAAAACAAATTATTTATTAATTAAATATATACAACGTAAATGCTTTACTTTATTTATAATTCGTATAATATACAATATGTTTTAATGAATAGTAAAAAATTCTCTGAAAATTTTGTTTTTTAATAATTACTTCTCAATTTCATCTCGTTTATTAATGAATAATTCAAGTGTTTCTATTACAATCGGCCAATTTGTATAGATAAAAATTGCTTTCATAAATCCTTTCTTTTTAGTATCGTAGTATCTGTAAAAAAAAATTATTCGAAGATTATATATATATATATTTAACGTTAAAAGATGCACGAAAGGTAATATTGCTCTAAATAGAAAACGAAATTTTTTCCCAACGACAGAAAAATCAAACTGCAGATTGAATTCTCTTGTTTCGTGAGAGTTCTTCACGGATCCATCGTTTCACAGAGGACGTCTCGTGCGTATACATATACACGAACCTCTCTTTCTCTCTCTCTCTCTATATATATATAGATATATATATATACACATATACATATATACACATATATACATTATATATATATATATATATATATATATATATATATATATATTAGAAAAATATATTTACAAAATTTTTATCAAATTCTTTTAGGAAAATAT